TTTTTTTTTTTTTTTAACCTCCCTAGTAAATCAATTAACCTACTTTATTTAGGTTTCAGTAAAATCTAAATGATTGAAGAGAGAGAAATCAGGAGTGGAATTGTATTGTTTTAAACTCACCATACTTATTTAAAACACTTAACTTGAGCCTAGCTGGTGTGGTTCAGTGGTTCAGCGTTGACCCAGGTACCAAAAGGTCACTGGTTCAATTCCTGGTCAGGGCACATGCCTGGGTTTCGGGGCTCCGTCCTCAGTAGGGGGTGTGCAGGAGGGATCTGATTGATGTTGATTCTCTCCCATCGATGTTTCTATTTCTCCTTCTCCCTCCCTCTCTCTCTAAAATCAATAAAAACATATTCAAAAAAACACTTAAATTGCAAAATTATTAAAAATTTGCCTTGCTATGAACTGTTTTCCTGTTTTCAGTTTTTGCATTTTGAATGTAGTCAGATCCTTTATTCCATACCACATACATAATAGCCTCAAAATAACAATACCAATACTAGCACCAACGAAATGATTACTGAACAAAATGTTTGCAGTTCTTTTTTGTTTTAGGATATATACCATTAGAAGTGAACTGTCAAATTAGTATTTTTAAAAATCACAATAGTTCGTCTCCTCAACCACTTTTATAAATATTTAGGTGTCATTTGTATCGTCTTAATAATCTTATTCCTGGTGTCATTCTTTTTTTCTCTTTTACCCTAATATTCTCACTAATGTTTTTTCTTCTTGAAGTATTTTTATCTCTGTAGTCTGCTTCATAATTTTTAAAATAAGAGTATAAAGATAACTAAGTATAAAATAGCATTAGAAGCATAAAAATGTAAATTTTTAAAATGTATATACACATATTTTCTAACTCGGTGAGCTGAGAGAGCCTAGAAGCAATGACACCCCAATAACAACGGGGCACACCTGGAGCCCAGATCTTGGTTTCTAATAAAAGGAACCATTAAAAGAAACCAAGGCTCATTGGAGAAATGACTGATTCTAGGGCTAGGACAGAGAGAGACAAGATGAGACTGGAACATCTTATAATACCAGAAATTAAGGAAATACACAGACACATACACACAAAATGATGAGAGCATGTCAAAGCAACACAGGAGGCAACTGAAAGAGCTTCCAGTGACCAAAGCTGGAAGAACTTGAGCAACAAAATAAGTAACATGGTATTAGATTATATCCCAAATATAAAACAGCTGTTTATGAATCCATACTGGTATAAATAAATAAACAAATAAATAAATAGGAGAGAAGACAAATCTCCTAAGCTGAAGAATTCTAAATAATTTATGTCCATACTTCACCCTCAAGAAAGTGGAACATAACTCCCCAGTTTTTTAAAATTTAATTTTCAATTACAGTTTTTATTCAATATTATTTTGTATTGTTTTCAAGTGTATAACATAGTTAGATAATCATATACTTTACAAAGTGACCACCCCAAAATTTCCAGTACCCACCTGGCACAGTACATTGTTATTACAATATTCTTGACTATATTCCTTATGCTATACTTTATATCCCTGGGACTATTTTGTGACTACCAACTTGTTGTACTTAATCCCTTCACCTTTTTCACCCAGTCCTCCAAACCCTCCTCCCTTCTGGCAACCATCAGTCTATTTCTGTATTTTTTTAAGTGTAGGCTGTGCATAGACTTCTTTCCAAAGAGTATAGCATGGAAAGGGAGGGGGGAGGAGTAACTTCACAGTAGAGAAACGTGGCAAACACTACCTCAGCCAGTTGGTCACATTAACATCAGAGATAAGTTATGTTGATAGGATGCACCTTTGATACAATGTTAATCCACAACATTTTCTCTACTTTTCTAGTATTACTATACTGGTTTAAAATTAATCTTTTATAGCAGTTTTTATTTACCGGTGAAAACATTCTCAGCTTTAAGTGAATGAATAAAATATGGAGCATGATTCTTCTCTTTAGTAACTTTGAATCTAGTGGGGAAAACATGATCTAGCAAGTATGTAATACAGATATTAAATCATAGTAGGTGACCATGGGGGGCTTATGTTGAGAAAAGTACAAATATACTAAGGTGTAGCCAGGGGAAGTATCCAGAAAAACTTAGTCTTCTGTTTATACAATTAGGATTTCTAGAAGAGGTGCACAGTAATGGTTAGTTTAAGGTTCACTAAGTTCTCTTAAATATGATTTGATTATCATCAAAAGACAAAAACTATATTTTAAAAATTATTATACTTTGTCAACCAACCTTATGATAGATAATAAAAGTTTGATAGATAATATAATATGCATGACAGATTATAAAATTGGTGGCTCGATCAATCACAGTGTGGTCAGAATTTATTAGAAAGACAGTAAAATCAGGCAGTTGTGTATGATGCCCTCCATTAGTTTTATGTGTAGACTTGATTAAATCTTGGATGTTCCATTTTTAAATGTTAATATGTTCCTTAATTATGTTGTCCTTTTAGGATTGTCTGCTGCTAAACTGTTAGCTGAACATGAAGTTAATGTTTTGGTTTTAGAAGCCCGGGACAGAGTTGGAGGTAGAACGTACACCGTAAGAGTAAGTGATTTAAATACTTAGATATAATATCTCACACAAACTAGAAGTGATGTCATTGGAATACACAGAGCTAGAAGAGATCTCAAGAGTTCACGCAGTGAAGCTGTTTGTGCTCCATAGTCCTAAACTACTCCATCCAATAAGTCTCCCTTTTTTTCAAGAAGCACTCATCAAAAGAGTGATATCCTCTGACTTTCATGACCTTGCATTCTAATGAAGAACACAAACGTGAACAAATAACTTTAGTACAGTGTCATAATTTCCATACTATAGACCTAAATAGAGTACGTAGTATCTCAGGTTGGGTTATGGTTTGACTGGACTCAAAGTAACTATACACCCATAACACACACAAACACACATACACACACACGCACGCACGTACACTTAGTATAGGTTCCTTATTTATTTATCCAAGGATTCACAACTTAAAAGAAGGGTAGCTACAGTAAGGAGAAACAAATGCAGCATATTTTTGCATACCTTTTTCTTTGGTCCTTGTTCCCTTAGAGGTCTGCTGCTACCAGAGACACTTTTTGCTCAGGTAGGGTCAGCTGGACATGAGAAGAAACCCACTTTTCACTGCATCACTGCTTTTTATACAGGAATACCTTGTTTTATTATGCATTGCTTTATGGCACTTTTGCAGACATTGTGTTTTTTACAAGTTGCAGGTAAAACTCTCAACCAGCAAAAAATGATGACTTGCTGAAGGCTCCGATGATAGTTATCACTTTTTAGTAATACAGTGTTTTTAAATTAAAGTATGTACATTGTTTTTTAGACATAATTCTATTACATGCTTAATAGACAACAGGATAGTATAAACATAACTTTTATATGCACTGAGATACCAAAAAAATCGTGTGGCTCCCTTTATTGAATATTCCCTTTATTGCTGTGATCTGGAACAAAACCCACAATCTCTCCAAAGTATGCCTGTGGTTGAGCTTACATCACCATTCTGGAAAAATGCATGCTAACTATTGTTTACTACTATTCAATGAAATGGTTGCAGGTGGTTGAATCTGTGGGAGCTGATGAAAGTACACAATGGGAGGACATAGGGTGGGAAGGAAATAGGACCAAACATGGAAATTTTGGGAGCATGCAGATTTAAGGGGAGCAGAGGCAAAGGGGCCAGAGGGAGCAGTAGAGGCAGAGGAGGACCACACCAGAGCAGTGCAATGCGTATCAGCAAAGGAAAGAGGAAAGGATGAGAAACAGTCAAATACCATGAGCATTTGATACCTGATGAAGACTGAAAAGGCCTTTGTGTTTGGCAGTTAGGAGGTCATTTATGAGACTCTTTGTTAGAGCACACAAATAGAGTGTTAAAGGCTGAGGGTTCACCGTAAGGACAAGACTGAACTGTTGAAGTGACTTGAAGGAGAGGAATCACCTTTCTAATTAGAATATGTATCCGATTTATAACAGAATGGCTTATACAGTGATAATAAGAATGGCTTCAGCAATACAAACATTCAATTATTTTACATAAAAAGTCTGGTAGTAGGTAGTCCAGGCTAGTGCAGGGGTACAGCTTTAATCATCAAGGCTATGCTCTTTCAGTCTTTCTGCTAGATCATTCTTTATATGTTGGCTTATTGCCTAGTGGTAACCAGATGGCCGCTGCCTCTCTAACCATCAAATTATCATTTAAGGCAAGAAAGAGCATGAAGAGGTAGCCCACGTCTTACCTGCAACCAAGTTTTTCGTTTATCAGAAGACCCCAGCAGACATTTGCTTGGGTCCCGTCAGCCAGAGTTGGGGCACATAGCTACCCTTAGCTGTTAGGGAGCCTGGGAAAGCAAGTATTTAACATTTTAAGGATGCATAATAAGTGCAGGCGTGGGAAAGGGAATATGAATGGATATGGAATAGCCAACCAAGAACACCTAAACTAGAATATTATACCAGCTGTTTCAGTCACACCATGCTATGCTTCCCTCTGTGATTCACTTTTTACCTTTTTAGATGTATAGGGATATATTATAGGCCTATTTTCGCTTTGCTCATCTCTAACAGTGCTCTGTAGCCTTGCTATTCAAAGTGTCATGTAGGCCAGCAGCTTCAGAATCAACTGGGAGCTTGATAGAAATGCAGAATCTCAGGCCCTACCTCAGATGTGCTGAAGCTAAGTGCATTTTTCCAGGGGATACTACAGAAGTGCTGCTCTATGATGTATGTTTGGTTGCTTGCTTTAAATTACTATAAATCCAGATTAATTCTATCTGGAGAATTTCTGAGTACTTCCTCAGATGTAACCCACTGGGAAGCTATTGGTCTCAGAGTGAGGAGACTGGGATTCTGGCCTCTTACTGGCTTGACACACTGTCTTACCTTGGGTAAGTTCTATTATCACTTTACATTTCAGTTTTCTCATCTGAGCAGTGAGATACAATCTAAATGTACTAGAAGCTCCCTTCCAATTCAAATTCTAATTAAAGGCAAGTATTTGTAGTTCAAAAGAAAAATTGCATATTCTGCCTGTTCAGCCTATACAAATTTATTAGATATGATTGTCCTGTCATTTTCTGGACACTATTCCTTCATTTAGGAGCTAGTTATTAAGTTGTTCTTTAGTCCTACTTTTCTTATCTCTAAAACATTTTGGTTATTAAATAGGAGCATTAGTCATGTTGCAGATTTTCAGTTAAGAACAAATTTCTTTGTATAAGGAAAATGAGAATTCTAACATAGTACTGCCCCAGGCTGCTTTTTCATGGTGCATAATTTATATATGTCAGTACTATAGAGGAACTATTGTGTATTGATCATGATATTATAACTCCCCTTAGGTATATGGGAAAGAAACTCTGAAATGCTTGGAAGCTAGAATTTAACATTTATAAGATTTCAAATGAATAGGAGGGGAAAAAAGGGCTTTAAGAAGCAAGGACAGAAATGGTATTTAATAAGAAACTGAATTGAATATTATTTTAATTGCTTCTAATAACATAATCAACTAGGGTTACTTGGGGAGGAGATGCCATAAAAATTACTCTGGATCTTTAAGTACTGAATTGTCAAATTTGGTATTGTCACTTGGCAGTTGGGTTCAGATAGATTTATTAGTTCAGAACTTCCCCATTTTTCTAGTGTGATTCATCTATAATTCTTCAGAATCAAATTAATGAAGTTGAAATGCCTGCAGGGCTACCACAGGCATAGTGTATTTGTTTTCTAATAGGGTTGCATGTTCGTGGCCTCTTCAAAGGCTGAATAATAAAATTAAAATAAAGACCCTAAAGACTGAAGTGCAACATAGCAGAATATGGTATTATAGTTCTAGTATCCTCAGACTGAACCTGGGGCACCTCTTTTAGAATGTTTCCACTTTGTAAAGAAACATTCTGTAAGTCTTTCACATTTTTTACTGTTTCATTTAGGGTTATTTACTTTAAAGATAGTATCAGTGTTCTAAAGACATCATGTTTCAAAACTCCCAAGAGTTCTCTTGCTGTCTGTTAAAGCCTAAGAATTTATTGGAGTACTGATACCAGTTTTGTTCTTCATATATGAAAAAATATGTTTTTAGAGACTAGAGAAAGTTTGGAGGACAGCACCAATAGTTAGTAAAAGGAAATGTAAGAGTTATATGAGGGACAGAATAAGAGGTGAAAGGAATACTTCCTTTCTGGTATTATGGCAGAATGGAAACCCTGATTAACTCTCCCCATTGAAAGAAGTAAAATGCTGAATAAAATACATATGCTGCTGTGTCAAGGATGTTAGAAATTTGAAGATCTCCCATATGTTGAACAGATATCTCAAACTTAATACATCTAAATTGAACTTTTGCTCTTCATCAATTCCACTATTCCACTTTCCCCATATCAGAAAATGGCAACTTTTTAAAAAATGTGTAGTCATGCTCAACATTCATTCTGTCAGGAAATTCTTTTGGCTCTGCCTTCAGAATATATCCAGAATTCAACACTTCTCACCACTTCCATGGCTGCCACCTGGTGGGAGCTATCATCATCTCAAGGGGAAATTACTGCAAAAGCCTTCTAACTGATTTCCCTGCTTTCACTATTGCTTCTTACAATCAAGTCTTAGTGCAGCATCTAGAATGAGCCTTTCTAACCTAAGTCAGACCTTGGTACTTTTCTGGTGAAAACCTTCTAATGGCTCTCCTCACTCAGAGTAAAAGCAAGTGTCCTTACAATGCCCTGCTAAGTGAAATAAGCCAGTCAGAGAAAGACAAATACCATATGATTTCATTTACATATGGAAGGTAATGAACAAAATAAACTAACAAACAAAATAGAAACAGACTCATAGATAGAGAACAGACTGGCAGCTGTCAGAGGGAAGGGGAGTTGCAGGGTCCAGTGAAAAAGGAGAAGGAATTAAGCAAAATAAAACAAAATAAAATGAAATGAAAAAAACGATAAATGCAGTATAAAGTAGGAGATTTTTAACATACATTTCTAAGCTTATAATAAATTAAGCACACAAAAAAGCCTGAGCACAATTAATCTTATTCTAATGGATATGTATAAAATATGCATAAAGTTTATAGACTATATGTTCTTTACAAGCAGGAAAATCTTTGAAAATCGACCATGTGCTGCATCATAAAGTGGGCCCCAAGGATTGTTATCATATAAACCACATTCTTTGACCACAGTATACTTATGACAGAAACATAACTAAATCATTCTATCTGTGGAAATTAAAACACAATAAAGCTTTTAGAAACATGGATTTAGAGAGAAAGTGTAATGGAAATTTGAAAATACTTATAACTGCACAACAATGGAAACACTAAAAGTTGTGGATGTTGCTAAAATAATACTTAGAGGAAAATTTATAGCCTAAATATAAAAGGGGGAAAAAGCTCAATATGAATAAGCTAAGCATGAAGTCGTTAGAAAATTTAAGTGTAATAAATCAAAAGAGAGGAAAAAGAACATAAAACAATAATAATAAAATACTTAATAAAGAGGATCAAATAAACAAAGATTGATTCTTTGAAAAGATTTATTAAAAATAGAAAAGTGCCTGATATTTTTGAAGAAAAAAGAGATATCCCAAATATACAATGAAAGGGATAAAGTGCAGATATAACTACTGATGTAGTAAAAAATAAGAGGATGTCATGAACTTTAAACCAATAGTTTTGAAACATACATGAAATGCATATATCATAAGAAAAATATAATTTATCAAAATTGACTCTGTAGTTTATTTTCCCACAATGAAAACATTAAGCTTAGATAGCTCTACAGGTGTGTCCTACTTAATGTTCAAAGAAGAGATCATTCAATTTATGTACGAACACTTCTAGAGAATAGAAGGAAGTATGATCATTAACTCATGAGATTAGTAATACTCTAATGCAAAAAATGGACAAGGGCTGTAGAAGAAAGGAGAATCATGGGATGATCCCAATCTCATTTATGAACTTAGGTCCAAGAATCTTAAACAAAAAGTTAACAAAACATTTTCTGCAATAATAATATAATATGAGATTGTGTTACTCTAGGAAGTCAAGGTTGAATAATACTGGACAATATTCTGAAAATAACAGATTAGGTAAATCGTCCCTACCTTTCTGCATCCAGAAGGAAAAGACTGACCCACTTTTCCCCCTACCAGTGTGGTGGGGAGGGAGGAGTTTGCTTATCACTGAAGAAGCAAGTAAGAGGCTGAGTAGTATTTTCAAAAGTCTTACAAAGCTAGGGCAACTAAAGGTCAAGTCCAGAGTCCAGAAAAGTGTGTATGGAGGGAAGTGTTGGTAAATTCCTTGTCCTTTGGGTTGGACTGTGTCCTAGTTCTAAGGGTAAATTGCAAAAGGACTAGGACATGTGTGCAATTCAGCCTAGCTTCAAATCGTTCCAGCACAGAAAATGCAATAAAGTTATCTGGTATTGTTAATGAACCTAGGTGTTGGCAGAAGCAGACATAAATTGTTTATAAGAAAGATATCATCCTCCCAGGATTAAAATTTTTCCATATTTTTTTTTCAAATTCAATGAGTGGCATGCGATAAAATATAATCAGGCCAACAAGGAGAAGAGGCAACATGAATGAGAACTGGTATAAACAACAAAGTAGAAACAGACCCATAAGAAGTTATTACAAACACATGAAGGAGTTATAACTCACAATATTTAATTTATTGATTAAGTCATTGGGGAATGTGTTAATTAAAAAGCTGGGAAAATGTAGAACTACATTTAAGAGGGCTAAAGTAAAATTCAGCTTAAGAAAAAATCCTTGCAAGTGTATAAACTAATTTGTTAGGTATATAAATCTTTTTAATACCTTTTTGTACTCTTTTCCTATGATGCATTCTTCCTTGCAAGTGTTTTAAAATCAGATCAAGAATCCATCAGTGTGGACTGATTTAAGATTTCATCTGTTGGAAATAAGAGAATTAGGCCTAATAAATCCCTGGGTGACTTCTCCAGCAACATAACCCAAAGTAAAGCATATAAAATAAGTTAAATGCTTTAAAAAGGTTCTAGATTGGCAGGTACATGTACTAAAGTGTCCTTTTTTCTTTATGTATGTCATTGTTGAATCAGTCTCACCAATAACCATGCAAATGGGCATTGCTTGGTGATAAATATCATAGAGGGTTATGCATAGTCTTTGAGTGAAAGAGAAAGGATTGCTATTTTCAGTTGCAACATATCAGAAAGATGTAGGGCACATTTAAGTTGTAAAAAACATGTTTTATTATAAGATAAACTTATTTTTCAAGTTTTAACTAAAGTCTTCTGAACATTTTTTCTCTTTCTATAGAATAAACATGTTGATTACGTAGATGTTGGCGGGGCTTATGTTGGACCCACCCAGAACAGGATCCTAAGGTTATCTAAGGAGCTGGGCTTAAAAACTTACAAAGTGAACGTGAACGAGCGTGTTGTACAATATGTCAAGGTAAGCCTGATATTTTACTCAAGGGACCAATGGGGAAGTATTGTATTTGGAAAAATGTTTGATTTGGTTTTGAGGATTTTTTTCCTCAAAGCGATCATAAAAATAGGCTCTTGGCTTTAAAGTAGTATTCTGCCTTTCTTTTATTTTTTCAATCTTAAAAAAATCCCTGTGGACTCCTGGAATTACTACAAGGGGTCATGCTTCAACTTGGCTCTCTTCCATATCACCCACTGTGGCCCCAACCCCAGTCCAACCAGAATAGGGGTGGGAAGCTCTGTTTCCTTTCCTCCCCTCCTTGGAGTGGAGGAGTGCCTGTGACAAACACACACACAAACACACACAGCCCCTGGCAGCCCCTGGGGCACCTGTGAGGCAATTCTTTTTTTTTTTTTTTT